CCACGAAACCGTGAATCGAACCAAACCATGGATTTTGTGAACTGTTCCACCCCTAATATATACAGTATATAGGGTCTACTCCTGGTTGAATGGATTGATTGATGGGTGAAAAGATGTATAGATGGATTGAAACACATTTTGAGATAAACTGCTTAAACATTCAAAACCTAATTTTCTGTGTACAGCATGTTTACTAGAGCACTGGCCAATAATTTCACGCCAACAGTGAACACACCCTTTCTGAGGGCATATAAAAGAAAGCAGCTTTCCATACACCTCTACATTCTTCTCTTTATCATCCATCACTTCAGATAAACGGCATCAAGAATGAACAATCTCCCTCTACTAATGCCATCAAGCTCCAAGATGATACAGTTCCTCTTCTTGTTTGGTCTGACCCTGGCTGCTGAACCTCCTTCGGACAAACAGGAACAAGTTGGTGCGTGGTGGATGTCAATTGTTCTGGTTTAGTTTTGGGGGTCGCTGCTACAAGTACTTTGGCTCAAGGGTGACGTGGGGTGAAGCAGAGCTCCTATGTGTGTCAGAGGGAGGCAACCTGATGTCCATCCACCAGAGATGGGAAGTAACGAAGTACAAATACTTCGTTACTGTACTCAAGTAGACTTTTCTGATATTTTTACTTTACTTTACTACTTATTTTTACGGCGACTTTTTACTTCTACTCCTTACATTTTTACACAAATATCTGTACTTTCTACTCCTTACATTTTTAAAAATTGGCTCGTTACTTTAGTTTTGAATCATTTCAATGGAGTTACCGTTATTATTTTTCACGTCATCAATACCAAATTCAATCTAATTGGATGGGAATCTACGTTGCCTTTGACGCACCACTACAAGATGAATGGACAGATTCGGCGGTATTCATTCGCGGCAAATCATTGCAGCTTGGTGGCGGTGGCGTTAGCATAGTAGTATGGACGACGAGATGATTGAAAATGAACACAATCATTTACTGGAATGATTCCCCATGCTCAGTAAGATATGCTTTTGTTTGTGCTTTTCGCACAGTTTGCCCTTAGTCACAAAAAGCATATAAACTAGAAAAATGCTCTATGTTGTTTATATTTGACAATGAGTTTCTGTTCAAACTGAACCTGTTTTTAATCTGTAAAAGCTGAGAAAAAGCCAACATATGGCAATGTGACTGATTCTAATTTTTGTTAGAAATACTTTGATATGACCACCGATGTAAAATAAACGATAAAGTAAGGAAATCTTATTTTCCACAAGGTCCATCTTCAAATGTTGTTTTTACCTTTTTTCTTGGTCATATTCTTTGATCCTATTCTCTTGTAGAAATAATAATATTACAATGACTCAGATGTAACTAATCTCACTAATTTATATATAAAAAAAACTGTACAACATAAGTTTACGCTTAATAAAGTTTTATGATAGACTGACGGTATATGGAACTTGGGTGGCAATAATCACTTCAGGTGTTAGGTCGGGACACTGTAGGGATGTTCAGGTGCTTGCACTAGGAAGAGGCAGACTCCTTTAATAAGGTTCAATTGATTTATCTGCATTTAAGGATCTATGGCTTGCGTGTGGTTTCTAAAATACAGACACACAGTACAGACTCAGGAAATAGAAAATAAAATAAAAGTCAGGTTCAGGTTTACAGATTAACAGGTTTATACTTACAGGTTTACAGGCAAACAGAGGTTCTGACAGGCTTCCATGGCAAGGACAACAATCCGGCTCACCTAGCTTATATGGGGAGAGCTTAATCATGAGCTGATGGGAATCAGCTGAGCACCAGCTCCCAGGAGAGGATCCACGGCGCCCTCTGGTGGGCAAGCCTCTGGATCGCAACAGGAAAAACAGAAACCCACAGAAAGGGATCCATGTCGCCTTCTGGGGGGCAACCCCCTGGATCCCAACAGTAACAGAAGCCCACAGGAAGGGATCCACGTTGCCCTTTGGAGGGCAAACCTCTGGATCCCAACAATCCCCACAGCGCAAGGAGAGGCATCTCCAGGATGAGGACCAGTTGCTGCTGTCACTCCAGAAGAGGGTGAATGAATCTGGCATAAGTTATACACACGTTGCTCATAGGTCTTGAATAAGCTGGACACCATGACTTATAAGTAACATACACTTAATGTAAGTCACCGATCACACAACTGCTTGTAACATGTGAGCATATGCTGACATATGTCCAAAAATTTTGAGCATGCTTAAAATTTCTCGGTGTACTCACTGTATGCTGACTTGTGCTAGCGTGTTTCAGCGTGTTTCAGTGCACTTCAGCGTGCTCATAACTTATACAAAGTGTACCCAAAACGTATCCAACGTATGCCGATGTATTTGCCAGGTTTTCCGTATGCCGGTCTAAATTGTCAAGGTGTGACAGGGCCCTAAAGAAAGAAAAAATTATTTTGATAAGTGTGAGTTGGGACTTCCAAATCAACAGAAAAAGCCTTACCAACGAATCTGCTATGTCTTTAGTAAGAATACTAATGTTTATTTATCAAACCATAGGAACTATAAAGGTATTTCCACAGAGGGTTAGCTGGTCCCATAAAGAGTAAAGGTTGCTGTGGAACAATCATTAATCAAACCTGTAGGAGAAGCACATCCAGATATTTGTGAATAGGTTGATATAGCACTGCACATGCCAGTAATAAACTTTGCTCACTCCGCATGCATGTGCTGCAGTAAAATATGAACTCTAAAGTCACAAAGAGTTCAAAGCAAAAACGCAATATTACAGTTGCTTACAAAGAGTTCATTGGCTGGTGGAAATCGAAGAGCATAGTTGCAGCATGTAATCCAACGGGTTTTGGGTGTCACTGTGGCAACTGTATGTTGTGTGATTAAAATAAACGTTGAAGAAAAACACGAGACAACTGGCGTACGTTTCTGTCCAACTGTATTGAATAACTGCCGTTCTCATACAATGCTCTGCCTTACATACCAAGGGAGTAAGGTTCCCCCTAGTGGTCACATTTGGTATAACACATGGTATTTTGCCAAAGGGAGTATTTGTATTTAGAGTCATCAAACCATATCCATCCACCTTCTAGATGCAGGTCAGTGAGTCCAATCCAGGTCGTTGACTGAGTAAAATCGAAGTTCTTGATCAGATAATTTACAAAATTGTTGCACTCCAGACTGTGGATGGACACCAGGTTGGCTCCCTCTGACACACAGATGAGCTCTGCCTCACCCCACGTCACCTTTGTGCCAAAGTACCTGTAGCAGCGACCCTTGAAATTGAACCAGAATGTGTGAATTGCCGCACGTATCAGCTTTAGTTTTTGTCCATCTGAATGAGGCCCCTTAGAAAGAGACCCTGAAGTAGTCTCAGCAGCAAGAGAGAAATCAAACAAGAAAATGAACCATATCATCTTGGAGCTTTATATAATTTCTTACTGGTGCTTATCTTTAAAGATGTATGTTGAAAATGATCCTGCTGAGATATTAGCCTCTTGCCTTTAAATCCCTCCGAAAGGGATTGGTCAGCGTTACAGTTATGATGTTCATCTGCACATGAACATCAGTTTGTCAATGTTTGTTTTAAAATTAATATTAAACACTTTACACAAAACTTCCCAGTTAATTACCAAAATTCTGTTTTGATCATTTTGGAAAAATAAGTAAATTTAAAACAATACACTCTTGCCAGATGAATAATAGGCCCCGTCCACACGAAGCCGAACCCTGGCCTAAACGCACAAATTTTTCACCAAACCAGCCTCTCATCCACACGAAGCCGGCGTTTCGGGGGTCTGTAAACGATCTTTTTTTTATTCAGCCTTCAGAGTGGGAAGATTTCGAAACGCCGTTTTCGTGTTTCCATCTTTACGCTCTAACCGCATTTTTTTTTTACACGCATGCTTCATAGCGTCGCCTCTAAACACGCATGCGCGACACAGTATCACAACAACAATGGCGCCGTTGCTGCTAATGCTACTCACCCTGCTGTCGGGCTTACAACAGAATCTTCTTCTTCTGGAATATCTCCAGGAAGAACAGAGCAATATCGACCACATAGTTCAGCACCTGAATTTGACTTAACCACGAAAATGGACCCGCAGGGCAACCATGTATAAATGTTAGTGCGCATGCCCAACATTTCGTCGCTTATTTTTGCTTTGGCACCACAGCGCCACTTACAGGCCTGGCATACATTTTGCAGCGTTTTCATGCGTTCGTGTGGACGCTCATATTTATTTTACGTCTCCGTCTTTACGGCAAACGTTTTGGAAAATATCAGCGTTTCGTGTTCGTTTTGACTTCGTGTGGACGGGGCCTTAGTCTATTTTGACTTCCTTGTTTTGTTCCTGGAAATGCTGATGATTTTTGTATCAGCTTTATCTGTTCTTATTTCACTATCTCAAAAGAGATAAGGTGGAGTCATATCTTTTATAATCATAAATGGACTATAATATTTAATATCTGTTCCTCAGAAGGACAAGAGGCCCAATCAAGAAAGCCATTACACATTACACACACATGTCAAGTACATAACAATTTATTTCCTTCTTAGGGTTTTAAACAGTTTTGTTTTGGACTGCCTGTGAGCGTTTAGGCACTAAGATAATTAAAGCCAACTTAAACACATTAAAGGCATTTAAACTCGGCTCATTTTCTGTTTTTTCCCGTTTTGTTTTAAAAAAACAAATAGTGAGAAAACAAGTGTAGTTTTGCATTTTTAATTTTTAGTTTTAATTTGAAAAACGAAAAAACTAATGATACACGGATTATACACTGACCCAGCTACATCCTTTTATGCTATTTTTAAACATATTTTTTACATTTTAAATTAAAAAAACTGGACAGATCAACGTATCTTAATATTTTTTGCAACACACATTTTGAATAATCTCTTTTACAGGTTATATTGTTTGTAATAGGAAAGGATTTAATTAATTAATTTTTAAAAACATTAAGGTTTTTTAAAAGATTTTCGAATGCATAAACAGAAATGTTTGCACAAAAATATAGACATTTTCTATATTGACATGTTTAAGTTGATTTATTTTTATCAGCACATTTAAAACAACTGAGCAGGTTTACAAATTATTGTCAGAAGCTACTGACAAACTTGATCAACCTTACAAACAGAGGCAAATTTATTTGCGCACACAATGTCATTCCATTTTTTGTCTGTGCCTGAGTTGGTGTGAACACAAGGTTCAGCTCCCCCTGCATTGTTTGGCTCTCCTGGATACCAAAAACTAAAATCAAATGGAGAACCATCAGTCCAGAAATATGTTCCATCCTGCTGAGCATCAGAGAGTCCGATCCAATTGACCCCCTCAGCAGGATCAAAGTTTTTGATCAGGTCTTTCACAAAGTTCTCTTCTTCCATACTGTGGATGGAAACCAGGTTGGCTCCCTGGGACACACAATGCTTCTCTGCATCAGCCCAGGTCATCAATGTGGCAACGTATTTGTAACAGCTGTTCTCAAAGTCGTACCAAAAGTTGTTGCAGCCCCCACGGAGCAGTTTCGGCTCCTGCCTGTCTGAAGGAGCCACAGCAGCCAGAGAGAGACCAAACAAAATGAACAAAAACATCATATTAAGGTCTGATGTCTTTGATTTTTGTAGATTCTTCCTGGAGTTTATGTGCAGGGAAGGATCCCGCTCTCCTTTATGTTCTTCAGAAAGGGCGTTGATCATGTTTGTGTTAATGAGTGTTGGAAATAATCTTAATCATTCATAATAGGCTTGTTAACAGTTAATACATATCCGATATATTGGCAGGATATTTCCTGGTTATTCCCAGGTAAATCTAGGTTAGGTTTATCTTAGTAACAATAAGATAAAGCCAATGAAACATTTGACTTTATCTGTCTAAATTTCTTCTTGCTATAAAAGTAATAGCTAATTAAAAGGATCATAAACCTATCAATTCAATCTAATTGACTGATCTTAATAAATAAAAAAATGGTGTATAAACCCTTTTTATACAGTAAAGTGTAACACAAAGTCTTCACAGAAGACATAATGCAGACATAAAGCCATAAGAAACTTAGTAAGGTGTTGGATAAAACAAATAATTATTATAACTGTGACTAATTAAATCAGAAAGATTGTTTTGATTATATATTATTAGGAAATGTTATAATAATATATTAAAATTGGAAACAATATTATTTGGTGTTTGCTTTCATTTTATGTTGGGATTTTTTCTGTTGCCTTTAAGTCTTTGTATTGTTTTGGGGATTTCGGCTATCACGCCCTGGTAGTGAGTCTGTAAGGTCAGCATCCTTTTCATTGAAATGTATCTTTCCACCCAGACCCTGGTGATGTATTTGATCCTTTACAAGCACATATTAAGACATGTTGATACAGGTTACCTTATTACCTTATTCTGAACTCATATTCACCGCATTACAAACACGCAGATATCAATAAATGTGATTAGGAGACATTTCTGAGGGTTAAAGTTTAAGTTCAGTACGATAAACTTTTTAAAATATGCTGTCAGCAGCAGATGGATTCATAGACTAGAACAGGCTTCCTCAATTCCAGCCCTCGAGGTCCATTGGACCCCGTTAAAGGGGGGGATTGCCGTTAAGGGGGGGATTGTCTCCCTTAACGGCAATCCCTCCCTTTAACGACCGACCCTCAGAATCATAGACGTGTTTCAGATGTTACAGGCTAACGATGGAACCAAACGACCCATTCATCGGTTACCATTTGCATGTTTCCAAGCGATACAAGGCTTTGTCTATATAAGACTCAAACTCACTGCAGATCCAGACATTTGAATTGAGAAAGCTTTTTTTATATTTGATATTTTTTTGAATTTTTACGGAATGACTATGACCTGGATGACTGAGAACCTTCATCAGCAACAACAGATGGTTCATTCTATAAGTTTGCATAAGTCCATTTCTCCATTTTTGGTGAGAGCTCGGCCCAGAATTGTTCCTGTTCATTGATATGTTTACATCTCCTCCTGTTCTTATCCATTTCACTTATTTTAGAATCTCCTATTGGAGAAAGAAAAAATGGTGATGCAAAAGAAGATTCTTTTCCTCCATGTCCAAATGCAACAATCCAACCTTAATCCTTTCTTGCAGTTTCAGTGAAAGCATGTCTCTTTTCAAATCTCTTCTCTGTTTTGTCTTCAACGTTTATTTTACTTGAGAACACTGTTAGCTTCATTTTGTTCCATTAAAATGCAGCCAGCTCCTCTTTATCATGTCATATAGTTTATTCTCAATAGATTTAATGACCAGGGTTTGTTCTCCAGGAACATCCCATCAAAATGATGTCCAGAGGATCCTTTTATGGTTTTCAAGAAAATACATATTGGACAGAAACAGGAAAAAATCCATTTCAAAACCCACCTAAACATCCTGTTAAATCAAGATCAGTATTTCTGAAAAGACGCAGAGGGCAGTATGACATAGGGAATGCAGATTAGTAAACGACTCATGAAATTAATATTTCAAGTTAAAAATGCTGCATGGGAAGATCTGATTGAGTTGTGATTAATTACAGATGAAAAAAATGTGATAAAATAACAAAACTAGGCTTGCTCTAAAGAATGGGAATAAGTGCAATCCTATCGATTGAGTCATAAGTTCTCTGATTATATGAGCATGCACAAACAGAGGATCAAGGGAAAAATATGTACTGATTCCTGCACACATTTTTTTAATCATCAGTTTTTTTTGTTTTTTTTTACTATTTATTATCTTTTTTAGTTACTATAGCTTCGCCATATAAAAACTGTTGTCTGTAGAGCTTCAGTCTTCTATTAGATGGAACACTTTTGGATTTGCTGTTGATTCAAGGTCAAATCCACCTTGAATCCACAAATTATTCCTACTTAAAGCAGCTATTGTAAGTACTCCATGTTCTTTTCTGACAATTCGACACATTACTATGTATCTGCAGAAGGTACAGAATGAAATAAATATTGGAACACATTTCTCTTCTATTAAAATAGATAAGTTAAATATTTTAATGCTTTAAATTTACTTAAATTTTTATTTTACAGTTCTTGTCAATCCTCAAATGTTCAAGGAAACCATGTCAAAATATATTTTGTATGAGTGGAAGAAATGTAATAGTTCAAAAGAAGAACTCAGAGAGCCATTACTCTAAGGATAAAAATATGATGTACTGATTTTTTATTTCTGTAATTTAGTGGTATCGGTTACATCTGAGTCATTGTAATATTCTTATTATTTCTAGAAAGAAGAATTGGACCAAAGAATTACAGAAAAACAGCATTTGAAGATGGACATTTATTTTACATTGAAGGTCATATCAAAGTATTTCTAACAGAAATTACAGTAGAATCAGTCGCATTGCCATATTGTTGGCTTTATCTCAGCTTTTACTGATAAAAACAGGTTCAGTTTAAACAGAAAAAACTAATTAACAAATATAAAGCATTTAATATTGCTTTTCTAGTTTTTATGCTTGTAGTGACTAAGGGCAAACTGTACGAGATGCACAGACAAAAGCAAATCTTCCTGAGCAAATGTGATCATTCCAGTAATACTGGTTGCCAAAGTTGGTGTGTACACAGTGTTCATTTCCAAGGCAGTTGTCAGGTTGTCCTTTACTCCAAATGGAGAATCTGTATTTGGACCCATCAGACCATATCCAACCTCCCTCTCGATGAAAATCAGTGAGTCCAATCCAGGTGTATCTCTGAGTAGGATCAAATCTGTTGATCAGCAAATTGACAAAATCGTATTCCTCTTGACTGTGGATGGACACCAGGTTGCCTCCCTTTGACACACATAGGAGCTCTGCTTCACCCCATGTCTTCCTTGAGCCAAAGTACTTGTAGCAGCGACCCCCAAAACTAAACCAGGACAATGGACAGCCACCACGCACCAACTTCAGTTCCTGCTTGTCTGAAGGAGGTTCAGCAGCCAGGGTAAGACAAAACAAGAAGAGGAACTGTATCATCTTGGAGCTTGATGGCATTAGTAGAGAGAGATTGTTCATTCTTGACGCCGTTTATCTGAAGTGATGGATGATAAAGAGAAGTATGTAGAGGTGTATGGAAAGCTGCTTTCTTTTATATCTCCTCAGAAAGGGTGTGTTCACTGTTGGTGTGACATGATTGGCCAGTGCTCTAGTAAACATGCTGTACACAAACAGCTTTTGAATGTTTAAGCAAATTATCTAAAAATATTTTTCAATCCATACGTCCGTCTATCTATCTATTCATCAATCCATCTATCCATATAAATATGTAATTTTGAAAAAAACAAACTGTAAAAAGCTATTACATTAATTTTGTTTGGACCCTGTTGAAGAAAGATTTAAGGAATTTAGGAATAAAGTAGGATTAAACTTAACTTTCGACTTTTTCTGTATAGATGCAGCTGATCAAAGCCAGCCGAAGAACAATGTACTCCCTACAAAATTTGGAAACAAAAGAACATTTAGTGAGACAGATTTGACCAAATTTACCAACGTTAAAACGGACTAAAATTTTCGAATTTGACAAATAGCCAGAAAGTTTTTACAATTGTTTTTTTTTTTTTTTTTTTTTTTTTTTTATAAAATGAATTCTGTACTTAACTAATTTTCCCCTCTTCAGCCAATATATTTAAACTCACATAATATAAAGTAAAGATGACATTTAGAACTGCTTGTGCCATGGGTGTAGGTTTGCATAGGGACCATAGGGACATGTCCTTAGCAGAATTTTGGATCAACCTACTTGTCCCTACCAATAAGTTGATGTGAACAACATGTTTATAATTTAAAATTCAGCGTTGTTGCAGCAGTGGCTTCTTTTCCTCTTGCAGCTCCTCTGCCTGGTAGCTGCAGCTGCCTGGTCTTTCCTTTCCTTTTCACATAGCAGAGCATTGCACTGTGCTACGCTGTTTAACTCCACTCTTCGATTTTTCTGCCTTAAGTTCCACCTTCTCTCTTTCTGATTGCTTGTTTTTTAGTCTGTATGTGTGCAAGTGTGAGTGCTTGGAGCGCAAAATAAATAAAAAATGACACTAGAATACGGCGATTACCAAAATAAATAATAGGCTACGAAACTAGTCCCAATTAAAAAACTAAATATTATCTACGCTAAAACAGGCTTCTGATTGCAGTTCGGTAAAAAAGCAGGAGAGTGTTTTGATTTGTGGAATTTGAGAAATGTAATTGCCGTTTTCCTTTTTGACATCAGTTCTGGTATGAATAACAGCTGTTATTTCTTTTGTAGAACATAACAACATTAGAAGGATGCTAAAGATCTGTTATTTTTTTGTTTTCCACATAAAAATAGTGCTATTTTATTGACTTCTACTTCTAGAAATAGGATAAAGGCAAACAGAAGAACACTATCTACAATGAATATATTTTTCTAGATTTCCACACGATCCATAAGTGAATTAGTACAAACATTAATGTCTGGTAAATAATGCTTGAATCTGGCTGTTTATTTTGGATACCATTACATTACAGATCAGATACTGTTATATTATTGTCTTTTAGAATTGTTAAAAGTTATTTTATATTTGAAGAAACTTAGGCTCATTCTTAGTTGTGTGCTTTGTAGATGCCACTAAAAAAGAAAATAGACATAAGGAGCTATTTAAACAGTCTGACAGTAAGTTTTGCAGCAACTTCAGGAAACAAAAACAGCTGCTTAGAGGCTGAGATGAGTTCCTTGTCTGCATTAAGAGGTAATTTTTGGTTGTGATTAAACTTTCACAGGGTTGGTAGAGAACTAGCCTCGCCAAATATTTTAATAATGTGGAATGTTTGGAGTGCAGCTGAGAGACTGTAGATTAATAGATTATAGATCAAAAAAGAAAAGTCCAGAGAGAAACAGGATGGGAAACTAAAATCCCAGACGAGGACATTACAGGATTTTGATTTAAATGTAGTTTCATTTTTGTTTTGTTTTTCATTAGGATTGCATTAGAGATTGATTAAGAACAGGATAAATCACACTTCAAGCTGGAACTGGAGAAAGCGATACCAGTTCTTAGAAGATACCCAAGAAACCCTCAGGAGCTCAGCAGATCAGCTGGGTCAAGCTTTTATTAACAAGGCTGGAGAGTTAAAAACAACTCCGATGTGACCTGACCCTGGGTTTTTCATCCTCCAGTTTTCAAAAACTTTTCATTAATATCTGTGTATATTATGCTGTTTGGAAACTGCCTAGGCACAAACTGATTAATTTGCATCTCTAATCATTACTAACACTTATCTTGGTTAATAACTGGACTGGATCTGAATCATTGATTAGGACATCAGGGAGATGGTGAAAGAACACAGCATGCCAGATACAGTGTTTAGAGATTGTGGGCTGCATGTTTTGTTCCTGGTTGAAGGCCATTCTGGTGAGCTCAGAGTTTGTTTTAATTCCTCTGATATAACCAATGAGGTACAGATGGATATGGGGTTTTGAAGCTCATGGTGTTTTGTTGGGGTGGAATTGGGCCCCCATTAAAAGGCGGTCATTCTGACAGAGGCATTAAATGAATGACTTGATGAACCTACAACTTTTTGGAGAAATCGGGGACACCACGGGGGGTTCGTTGTCCTACATGTTTGTCGTTGTTTGTGTCTGTATGTTTATCTATTTGTGTTTGTTTACTAACATCTTAGCCTTTAGAAGAAAAAAAAAGAAAAAAAAGGATGTGGCACGCATGTTAATTTTGTTTGAATAAGCACTGACTACACTACGGATGGAAATGTTTCAAAATGAACTATGGACTTTTTGTTTGCAGAGACATTGGACAATTTCTTTCTTGAGTCACAGGAAGGATTACACTATAGGGGCACAGAGACTAACTTTACAACTAAACTTCAGAAGGAGGGATGGTGTGCAGCTGCTGAGATTCAGACATTAAGGAAGTGAGTGCTTCGGGTGAGAACAGGCCATTGGCAGTGATGGGGTGATGGGAGGTCACGGGATCATCGGACAAGACTGATGAAAAAGATAAGCGAACTGACGCACCAGATTTCTTATTCACAATGAAAGATTATGAGCAATTTATTCAAAACAGGTTAAAATGGTTACGGTAAATATTCTCCATATCATCAGGGGGTGAGGTAATCTTAAATAGAGGAATAAAAATGACTTAGAGATGCTTTGATATGTTATAGAGTGGACTGGGTTTTTTTTTTTTTATAAATAGTTTGGTCAGTTTTTGATTAGCAGAATATTAAAGGGACAACAAGCTGAAACTTCAACATTTGGGAATACTAAAGTAGCATCAACAAAATAGAATTTTGGAGAAATTAGAACATTTTCGGAGCAAGTGTTTTAAAGCAAATGAGGACATCTTTCAATATAAGCAATAATGATGAAGACTTTTTTGAGTTAATGGTGCTTCTGGCACTTCAACATCAGGCCCAGGATCTAAAACTTCACCATTTTTAACTGCAAGCTGATTTAAAGATAGAATTACAGAAGCTATATATTTTGGGGATGCTAGATTTTGTGGATGGGTAACCATATATTTCATGCACAAAGCAATAAGAACACCTGACTTTATTTCACCTACAGCTGCAATCAATACTTTAGATGGAACTGCACACTTAATACGGTTGTTTATTTGATATAACACATATATGCCGTAAGAGGAGATTATGTTTCCTGCACATTTTTGATCTGGTCAGGGGTCCAGATATGACAACTATTGACTGGTTCATCAAACCAAAGTAACTGTGGCTAAGAATATCTGGTTGTGATGGCACTTAGGTTTTGAGTAAATAATGAATTACTCATTAAAGACACTGCTTATTCTGATAGAACATTAATTGCAATCTCTTCTGTGCCAGAGGTTCCTGGAGGAATGGATTGATGAACTATGATGAGAACACTCCATGAGAACCACCACGTGGATTCAACATCTATCTGCCATCGGATGGCATGGAGACCAAAGCGGCTGTGGAGGAGGTCATACGAGACTCTGATGATGAATTAGGTTGATGGGTGATAGAGACACTGAAAGAATTCATCATCATCAGCGATATTCATAATTTGCTTTTAAATCGGGTCAGGATAATTCTTGATTTTACCTAATTGTGATTTATATGTTTTGATTTATTTGGATTTTGTTTTGATGAAAAACATGGAAACATTTGCTCCAGACCCACCAAGATCAAGTTTTATGCCACTTCTGCTTTGATGTAGAAAGACTCAGAACCTGATTGGCTTAAAGGTTCTTAAATTAGTTGGTAATGATAATAGTCAGATTCAAAACAGGGTTTTTCTTGCTCAGATTGTCCGAGAGTGGGATTTTCCTGGGGTCACCCTTGGTTTTTACTACCTTTTAGAGAAGGTAGGGTTTTCCGGTGGAGAACGGCCCGGCCTGTCCTGTGTCGTCCCCTACTGTGACTGAATGATTGATAAATGTGGACGGATGGTTTATCCATCATGAGTTTTTGAATATCGATTAATAATCAGATAGCCTAAGGTTCCTTAAAGAAGATTTTTTACGAAATAGAACCAGTTGAAACAGATACGTTTCCTCTTGAGAAGATCTGGATAGAGAATATTGACAGAAAAATACTTATTTTTTATCTTAAATGCAAAATGTTTACATATTTTTTACAATCTTTGTATAATTCCTGCTCTACGTGGGTCGTTCTGTCTGCTAAAGGCATATTTTAGTTGCCCTATACTACAGTTAATGATTAAATAATTACTAAATTAGTTGACAATTTTTTTAAATACTCAATTATTATGATTAATTGTTTCAGCCATAGATAAAATACATGAAATGTGCTACACAGATTAACTACAGCCCATATCTACAAAATGTATAGTAAAGTTAATATTTTAAATGCTCAGTGTAGGAGTTTGCATTTTCTCCCTGAGCCTGCATGGGTTCTCTCTTGGTACCCTGGCTTCCTCCCACAGACCAAAAAAAAATAAATAGATGACTGTTAGGTTAATTGGCTTTTCTAAATTCTCCTTAGGTGTGAGCGTGAATGGTTTTTTGTCTCTGTGATGGACTGGTGACCTGTGTGGGGTGTACACTGGCCTGCCGCCTGTAGATAGCTGGAGATAGGTA